TTCTATTCTATATTAGGTGTAGTCTATACAGATATAAAGTACATCTTGTAATAAAACATCAAACGTCATTTTATAAATGCATATAAAATATCAAATCAAATTTTATTGGCCACATGCGCCGAATACAACAGGTGCAGACATTACAGTGAAATGCTTACTTACAGCCCTTCACCAAAAAAAAAAAGAGCAGAAGTAAAATAAAAAACAGTAGGGAGGCTATATACAGGGGGGTACCGGTGCAGAGTCAATGTGCGGGGGCACCGGCTAGTTGAGGTAGTTGAAGTAATATGTACATGTGGGTAGAGTTAAAGTGACTATGCATAAATAATTAACAGAGTAGCAGCAGCGTAAAAGGATGGGGTGGGGGGGCAGTGCAAATAGTCCGGGTAGCCATGATTAGCTGTTCAGGAGTCTTATGGCTTGGGGGTAGAAGCTGTTGAGAAGTCTTTTGGACCTAGACTTGGCACTCCGGTACCGCTTGCCGTGCGGTAGCAGAGAGAACAGTCTTTGACTAGGGTGGCTGGAGTCTTTGACAATTTTTAGAGCCTTCCTCTGACACCGCCTGGTATAGAGGTCCTGGATGGCAGGAAGCTTGGCCCCAGTGATGTACTGGGCCGTACGCAGTACCCTCTGTAGTGCCTTGCGGTCGGAGGCCAAGCAGTTGCCATACCAGGCGGTGATGCAACCAGTCAGGATGCTCTCGATGGTGCAGGTGTAGAATTTGAGGATCTGAGGACCCATGCCAAATCTTTTCAGTCTCCTGAGGGGGAATAGGCTTTGTCGTGCCCTCTTCACGACTGTCTTGGTGTGTTTGGACCATGATAGTTCGTTGGTGATGTGGACACCAAGGAACTTGAAGCTCTCAACCTGTTCCACTACAGCCCAGTCGATGAGAATGGGGGCGTGCTCAGTCCTCTTTTTTTTTTCCTGTAGTCCACAATCATCTCCTTTGTCTTGGTCACGTTGAGGGAGAGGTTGTTATCCTGGCACCACACGGCCATGTCTCTGACCTCCTCCCTATAGGCTGTATCAGGACAAACACTTAAATATCAGGACAAACACTTAAAATGAATTATCAAGGAAAACAAAATCTGTATGTGAATATTCTAAGTTATTATATTTCAATACGGGGAAATACTACATTTCCCAGAATGCATTAGTTTAACCCTAAAGTCGACCCTCAGGCCTTCAAAAAGACGCCAAAGAAATGAAATGGTTGGTGGAAATATGATTGGCTATTCTAAGCACTAATGTTAAAAGATAATATGAACATTGTTTCCAGAGAAAAGTTATATATTATTTGGTATCTGGAAGTGTGACCTGTCAGATTCAATGAAACTCATGTTCTGACCGAGTGGAATTTCTTTGAATTGCACTAAATTAAATTCTACTTCCTGTCACTCCAACTCAAATTCTACATCCTGTGGGGTGTGGCCAATTCAATTTGATTTTCAACTCAGGAGATGAATGGGAGTCAATTCCAAAATTCTGAATTTATCCCAACCCTGTTATGAACGTTAGAATGTTTATTTCTTGATAGAGTTTGTGGTGGAGGTGAGGGAGGAGCTTCATTCTGAGGGGGAGGGGAGGTGGGAGAGGTACCTGTATGTGTCTGGAGATGTCAATAATCTGGAGTTGCCCCTCCTCCCATACTCCACCTACCACTTCCGGGTCAGCGGGGTCAACGACCTCGGGAGGAGCGAACACTCGGAACCCTCAGACTTACAGCACCCCTCCTTCAGGTATGACACACACACACAAGACAACACACACACACAGAGACAAAAACGACAAACACAAAGAGAAAACACAACACAACAACAAAGACAAACAAAAAAAACCCCACACACACCGGGAACAAAAAAAACCCAACCACAGAGAAAACCCACCCCAAAACAAACAAAAAACACAAAAAAACCCCCCCCACACACACACAGAAGACAACCCACACACACACACACAGAAAAACACAACCAACACCACAGCAAAAAACCCACAAGAACAACACACCAGAGAAAAACCCACACCAAGACAACACCCAAACAAAAAAACCCACACAAACCAGAGCACACACACACAAGAAAAAAAACACACACACACACCAGAAAACACACACAAGAAAACAACACACACACACACCAAAGACAAAACACACAGAACAACCACACACCACGAACAACACACAAAAGAAGAAAACCCCCCAAACAAAAAAACATACCCGCACACAAGACAAACACCCAAGAAAAAAAACACACAACACAGAACAAACACAACAAAGAGGAAAAACAAAACCCACCCACAAAAAACCACACACACCCAACAAGACCCCAAACAAAAACCCACACAGAGAAAACACACACACAAAAAAAGAAACCCACACAAACACAAGAAAAAAAAACACACACCGCCACAAAACCCAACCCGTGAAGAACAAACGACACACAAGAAAACCGCCACACACACACAAAAAGACAACACACACAAAACAACACACACACAACAGAACAACACACCAAGACAACACACCCCAAAACAAACAACACAACACAAAAAACAAACACCACACACACAAGCAACACACACAGAGACAACACACACACAACAAAGAACCCCCACACACAAAAAGGGACAACCCCCCAACACAAAAACACCCCCACCAAAAAAAAACCCAAACACAAAAACCAACACCAAGAAACACCCCCGGCGCACACAGAGAAAACCCCAAACACACCAAGAAAACAACAAAACCACACACACAGAGAAACACCACCCCACACACACAGAGAAACCCCACACAAAACCACACACACACACACAGGAAAACCAACCAAAAAAGACAAACACACACACCAAAAAAGACAACAACAGCCCCAACACAGGAAAAAAACAAAAAGACAAAAACACACACACACAAAAGAAAAAAACCCCAAAAAACCCCCCACCGCCACAGAACAAACCCCCAGAGACAACCACAACAGAGAAACCCCCACACACACAAAAAACAAAAACCCACACAAAACACACCCACCCACAGAAAAAACACCAAAAGGGAAAACACAACACACACAAGACAACACACACACGAAAGACAACCCCACACACACAACACAAGAAAAAAAAAGAGAAACCAACAAACACAAAAAGAAAAAAAAAAAAAAAAAAAACACCAAAACAAAAAAACAAAAAAAAAAACAACACACACACACAAAAACAAAACAACAACACCCGCGACACAGAGACAACACACACACAAGAAAAAACACCCCAACAAAAAGGGAAACACACACCCCACCGAGAAACACCACAGAAAACAAACCACCAACAACAACCACCAAAAAAAAAAACCAAAAAAAACACACACACGACAAACCCGGCGCCCAAACCACCCAACAAGAAAACAAACACACAAGGGAAAACACACGCGCGCAAAAAAACCCCCCAGACAACAAACACCAGAAAAACCCACCAACCAAGAAAAAAACCCCGGGCGCACAGGGGAACAACACGCCCAACAACGCGCACACAGAGACAAACCCCAACAAGACAACCCCACACGAAAACACCACACAAGAGACTCACGGGCCCTTTCCTATCTGCTACGCAGAGACAAAAATTTAAATTTTCCCTCGCATCTCTGCATGTCTAGCAGACATATCAGTATGGATGACGGATCCACCACCTCAAGCTGAACCTCGGCAAGACGGAGCTGCTCTTCCTCCCGGGGAAGGACTGCCCGTTCCATGATCTCGCCATCACGGTTGACAACTCCGTTGTGTCCTCCTCCCAGAGTGCGAAGAGCCTTGGCGTGACCCTGGACAACACCCTGTCATTCCTCCGCCAACATCAAAGCGGTGACCCGATCCTGTAGGTTCATGCTCTACAACATTCGCAGAGTACGACCCTGCCTTACACAGGAAGCGGCACAGGTCCTAATCCAGGCACTTGTCATCTCCCGTCTGGATTACTGCAACTCGCTGTTGGCTGGGCTCCCTGCCTGTGCCATTAAACCCCTACAACTCATCCAGAATGCCGCAGCCCGTCTGGTGTTCAACCTTCCCAAGTTCTCTCACGTCACCCCGCTCCTCCGCACACTCCACTGGCTTCCAGTTGAAGCTCGCATCTGTTACAAGACCATGGTGCTTGCCTATGGAGCTGTGAGGGGAACGGCACCTCCGTACCTTCAGGTTCTGATCAGACCCTACACCCAAACGAGGGCATTGCGTTCATCCACCTCTGGCCTGCTGGCTCCCCTTCCTCTGCGGAAGCATAGTTCCCGCTCAGCCCAGTCAAAACTGTTCGCTGCTCTGGCACCCCAATGGTGGAACAAGCTCCCTCACGACGCCAGGACAGCGGAGTCACTCACCACCTTCCGGAGACATTTGAAACCCCACCTCTTTAAGGAATACCTGGGATAGGATAAAGTAATCCTTCTACCCCCCCCCAAAAAAAAATATATATATATATATTAAAGTGGTTATCCCACTGGCTATAAGGTGAATGCACTAATTTGTAATTCGCTCTGGATAAGAGCGTCTGCTAATGACGAAAATGTAAAATGTAAAATGTTCTATTGTTGCAGTGGCATCATTTCAGCTAAAGCTGTGGGAAAAACGTAACATGTTTGTATTGTTGGAGAGAAAGTCTGAAAAACAGGATGAGGATTTTTATTAGTTACAAAACCACAGGGAGCGTAGCGTAGTACTTCAGTGCTTTGGGTATGAAGAACAGAAACATACATGCATTCATTTGAGCTATAGTAGGGATATACGGGTTACAGTTTTACATTCCAGTTGGTGTCAAATGTCCCGTGTGGCTCAGTTGGTAGAGCATGGCACTTGCAACGCCAGGGTTGTGGGTTCAATTCCCACAGGGGACCAGTACCAATGAAAATGTATGCACTCACTAAGTGGCTCTGGATAAGAGCGTCTGCTAAATGTACTCCCCACTCCAACTACACACTCCCCCCACTCCCTCACGTCCTCAGGGTAGCCCGTCCGTCCTCAGGGTTGCATGCGGATGCCTCCGTCCAGCCTGATGACCTCTCCGTTGATCATGGGGTTCTCAGCCAGTGATGTCACCAGGTGGGCAAACTCCGCAGGGTCTCCCAGGCGGGACGGGAAAGGCACCTGACGGGCCAGGAACGACTGCACCTGGGAGGGAGAGAGAAAGAGAGAGGTGAGAGTGGGGGTTAGACTGGATAGAGAGAGGTGTGGGGGGGTTAGTATGGGGGTGGGGGGGTTAGTATAGAGCGAGAGGTGGGGGGTTACTATGGAGAGAAAGGTGTGGGGTTACTATGGAGAGAGGTGTGGGGTTACTATGGAGAGAGGTGTGGGGGGGGTTAGTACGGAGAGAGAGGGGTGGGGGGGGTTAGTACGGTCTGACCCCTGGACACCATGTGTCCTGTGTCTGTGTGAGTGAACGTACCTTCTCAGGCAGACCAGCCAGGAGAGGAGTAGCAAACAGACCTGGGGGATAGAGTTAACGTCTTACTCGTTAAATACTAATAAAGCTTGTTTCAATTTCAATTAGAGACACAGAAGGAAAGAAGTTGTATAAAGTCGTACGATAAAAGTTGATGTGTAGTATATAGTGGGTATGTATATAGTTACGGTGTCTATATTAGTACTGTGTCCGTATATAGTGTGTACGGATATAGGGTATGATGATGTATACTAGTAATGTGTCTGTATTATAGTGTACTGTTATATAGTGTACGTGTGTCTGATATAGTACTGTGTCTGTATATATGTATGTGGGTCTGTAATAGTACTGTGGCTATTATAGTGTACTGTGTGTCTGTATATAGTGTACTGTGTGTCTGTATATAGTGTACTGTGTGTCTGTATATAGTGTACTGTGTGTCTGTATATAGTGTACTGAGTCTGGATTATAGTGTACTGTTGTGTATGTATATAGTGTTGCTGTGTGTCTGTTTAATAGTGTACTGTATGTCTGTATATTAGTGTCTACCTGCTGTCGTACTCGTATATAGGTTACTGTATTATGTGTACTGTGGTTTGTGTCTGAGAGATGTTACGGTGTGTCTGTATAGTAGTGTTACTGGTGTGGCTGTATCATAGTGTTACAGGTGTAGATATAGTTGTACTGTGTGTCTGGCATATAGTGTACTGTATGTATGTATATAGTAGGTGTACTGGTGGCTGTAGATAGTGTTAACTGTATATAGTGTACTGTGTGTCGTGGTATATAGTGTTTATGGATATAGGTGTACTGTGGGAGGTCATGTGTACTGTGGTATGTATATAGGTACTGTAGATAGTGTACGGTGTGTCTGATTATAGTTTTTTACTTGATATGTGTACTGTCTATAGAGGTCTGTGTTGTAGGTATATAGGGTATGTGTGTCTGTAATAGTTGTATGTATATAGTGTTTACTGTGTGTTGTTATATAGTGTACTGTGTGTCGTATATAGTGTACGGTTGTGGCTGTATATAGGGTCCTGGCGTTCTGTATATAGTGTACTGTATATAGTTGTTACTGTCGTGTCTGTATATAGTTGTACTGTATTAAAGTGTACTGTTGTGTCTGTATATAGTGTTAATGTTGTGTAGTCTATATTTACTGTTTTATAGTGTACTGTGTGTTGTATATAGGTATCGTGTGTCTGTATATAGTGTACTGTGTGTCTGTATATAGTGTACTGTGTGTCTGTATATAGTGTACTGTATGTCTGTATATAGTGTACTGTGTGTCTGTATATAGTGTACTGTGGGTCGTATATTAAGTGTACTGTGTTTGCTGTTTAGATGTACTGTATAGAGTGACTGTGTGTCTGTATACTAGGTGCTCGTTGTGTTCTGTATATAGTGTACTGTATATAGTGTAGGTTACTGTGGGTCTGTATATAGTGTGATGTGTGTCTGTATAGAGTGTACTGTATATAGATGTACTGTTTTGTGTCTGATATAGTGTACTGTGTTGTTGTCTGAAAAGTGTACTGTGTGTCTGTATATAGTGTACTGTGTGTCTGTATATAGTGTAATGTGTGTCTTGTATAAGTACTGTGTCATGTATATAGTGTTACTGTGCGTTATGGATATAGTGTACTGTGTGTCTGTAGATATTTGCTTGTGTGTCTTGTAATAGTGTACTGGTGTTGTATATCGTGTATGTGTGTCTGTATATAGTGGTACTTATATATTAGTGTACGGTGTGTGTCTGTATATTAGTGTACTGATGTGTCTGTATATAGTGTACTGGGTGTCTTGTAGATAGGGTACTGGGTGTCTGGTATAGATTAGTGATGTATATAGTGTACGTGGTCTGTATATAGTGTACTGATATAGGTACTGTGTTCTGTATATAGTGTACTGTGTGTCTGTATATAGTGTACTGTGTGTCTGTATATAGTGTACTGTGTGTCTGTATATAGTGTACTGTATATAGTGTACTGTGTGTCTGTATATAGTGTACTGTGTGTCTGTATATAGTGTACTGTGTGTCTGTATATAGTGTACTGTGTGTCTGTATATAGTGTACTGTGTGTCTGTATATAGTGTACTGTATGTCTGTATATTAGTTGTACGGTGTCTGTAATAGTGTAATGTATATAGTGTACTGTGTGTCTGATATAGTGTACTGGTTTGTCTGATATAGTGTAATATATAGTGTACTGTATGTCTCGTATATAGTTGTACTGTTTAGTGTACTGTGTGTCGGTATATAGTGTACTCGTATGTATCTTTGTAGTATATGTGTGATTTGTGATGGATATAAGGTACTGGATATAGTGTAATGTTCTGTGTCTGTATAGTCTGTAATAGTGTACTGTATATGTGTACTGGGTGTCTGTATATAGGGTACGGTGATGTCTTGTATATAGTGTATGGGGTCTGTAGATAGGGTATGTGTGTCTGTATATAGGTACTGTGTGTTGTATAATAGTGTGCGGTGTGTCGTTATATATGTAATGTATATAGTGTACGTGGGTCTGTATATAGTGTTTTATTGTGTCGTATATAGGTACTGTATTTATGTGTACTGTGTGTTCTGTATATAGTGTAGGGTGTCTGTATTATAGTGTATGTGTGTCTTGTAATATATGCGTGCTGTGGTCTGTATATATTGGTGACTGTATATTAGTAGGTGTCGAATAGTTGTACTGTATATCGTGTACTGTGTGTCTATAAGGGTGACTGTGTGTCTGTATATAGTGTACTGTGGTCTGTATATAGTGTACTGTTGTGTATGGTATATAGGGGACTGTGTGTCTGTAAGTTTGCTGTGTGTCTGTATTAGTGTGTACTGATATAGTGTACTGTGTGTCTGTATAAAGTTACGGTCTGGTATATAGTGGACTGTGGTTTTGTAATATAGTGTACTGTGTGTCGTATATAGTGTACTGGTGTCTGGATATATGTACTGTAGATAGTTACTGTGTGTCTGTATACTAGTTGTACGGTGTGTCTGTATATAGTGGTACTTGTGTGTCTGTATATAGTGTCTGTTGTCGTATATAGTGTTACTGGTGCTGTATATAGGTACTGGGTGTTCTGTATATAGTGTACTGTATGTCTGTATATAGTGTACTGTATATAGGTGTTACTGTGTGTCATGTATTATAGTGTAATGTGTGTCTTTATCTAGTGTACTGTGTCTGTATAAGTGTACTGTAGTGTAGGTAATAGTGTACTGTATATAGGTGACTGTGTGTCTGAATAGTGTACTGTGTGTCTGTATATAGTGTACTGTGTGTCTGTATATAGTGTACTGTATATATGACTGTGTCTGTATATAGTGTACTGTGTGTCTGTAAGAGTTGGTACTGTAATATATGTATGTGTGTGATTATAGTGTACTTAGATAGTGTACTTGGTGTCTGTATATAGGTACTGTGTGTCGTAGATAGTTGTACTGTGGTGTATATAGTGTACTGTGTGTCTGTATATGTGTACTGTGGTTGTATATGTTTTAAGTGAATATAGTGTACTGTGTGGTCTGGTTTATAGGTGTACTGAGTGTCTGTTATATAGTGACTGGGTGTTGTAATAGTTTACTGTGTGTCGCTATATAGGTACGGACTAGGGTCTGTGTGTCTGTATATAGTGTACGTGTGGTGTTATATAGTGTACGTGTGTCTGGTATATAGTGTATGTGTGTCTGAATATTAGTGTAACGTGTGCTGGATATAGTGTACTGTATATTAGTGTCCGTGTGTGGTCGGTATATAGTTGTACTGTGTGTTACTGTATCTAGTGTACTGGTGTCGTATATAGTACTGTGGTCGGTATATAGTGTACTGTGTGTCTGTAATAGTGTACTGTGTCGTATATAGTGTACGGTAATAGTGTATGTTGTGTCTTTGTATATAGTGTACTGTAGGTCCGTATATAGTGTACTGTGTGTCTGTATATAGTGTACTGTGTGTCTGTATATAGTGTACTGTATATAGTGTACTGTGTGTCTGTATATAGTACTGTGTCTGTATATAGTGTACTGTGTGTAGTTATAGTGTTACTGGGTGTCTGTATATAGTGTGTACTGTTATAGTGTACTGTGTTCTGTATATAGTTGTACTGCTGTGTCTGATATAGTGTTACTGTGTGTCTGTATCTAGTTTGTTACTGTGGTGTCGTATATAGTGTACTGGATGTCTGTATATAGTTGTACTGAATAGTGTGCTGTGTGTCTGTATATGAGTGTACTGTCGTGTGTAAGTATAGAGTGTACTGGGTCTGTATATAGTTGACTGTGTGTACTGTATATGTGTACTGTGTGTCTGTAATATAGTTGTTATGTGGTCTGTATATAGTGTTACTGTTTGTGTCTGATAAGGTGGTTACTGTGTTGTCGTATATAGTGTACTGTGTTTGTATATAGTGGTACTGTGTCGGTTATAGTGTACTGTGTGTCTGTATATAGTTACTGTGGACTGTATATAGTGTACGTGTGTCTGTGATATAGGTACTGTGTGGTACTGTATATATGTGTTATGTGTGGTCTGGATATAGTGTACGGTTTGGGCTGTATTATAGTGTAATGTGGACTGTAGTCTGTAATAGTGTACTTGTGTGTCTGATATAGGTACTGTATATAGTGTTAATGGTATGTCTGTAATAGTTGTAATGTATGTCGGATAAGTGTACGGTGTGTCTGTATATGTGTACTGTGGTCGTATATAGTGTACTGTGTGTATTATAGTGTACTGGTCTGTATATAGTGTACGGGGTCGTATATAGTGTTATGTATGGTGTGGTCGGTATATAGTGTTAATGGTTTCTGTAAAGTGTACTGGTGGTCTTTATATAGTGTACGTAGTCTGTATATAGTTGTACTGTATATAGTGTACTGGTGTCTGTTATGTGTACGGTGTACTGATATAGTGTACTGTGGCTGTATCTAGGGTACTGGTGGACTGTATATAGTGTACTGTGGTCTCTGAATAGGTACGTGTGTCTGTTATATAGTGGTACTGTGGGTCGATATAGTGTACTGGGGTCTGTATATAGTGTACTGTGTGTCTGGATAAGTGTACTGGGTGGCTGTATATAGTGTGTACTGTATATAGTTGTTAGGTGTCTGTATATAGTGTTACTGTAGGTCTTGTATCATAGTGTACTGTATGTTTGTATATAGTGTACTGTATATAGTGTATGTGTGTGTCTGTATATAGGCTGACGGTGGTCATGTATATAGGGTAATGTGTGTGTGTCGTATATAGTTGTATGTATGTCTGTATTAGTGTACTTATGTCTGTAAACAGTGTGTGTGTGTGTATGTCTGTATACAGTGTGTGTGTGTGTAAACAGTGTGTGTACCGACCGGGTGCTATAGTAACCACTCTGATGCCCATGGGTGCCAGGTCTCTAGCGATGGGTTAGAGTCATTCCTACGATGCCTCCTTTAGACGCAGAGTACGCTGCCTGGCCCACCTGGGGGGAGAATGGTCAGTGCTGTCTAGCTTCCATGTCAGTGATTGTTAGCATGTCATGTTGTGAGTTACAGGTGTGTTACCTGTCCACATAGGCGGTTAGAAATGGCCATGTTGTTGACAGGTGTGGGTATTACCGTCATCATAGGCTGTTACATGCTCATGTTGGTAGTACAGTGTTGTCTACTGGTCCATCATAGGCTGTAGCATGCTAAGTGTTTAGTACAGGGTGCTCTACCTGTCCTCATAGGCGGTTAGGCATGCTCTGTGCTAGTACAGTGTGTCTACCCTGTCCATCATAGGCTGTTAGCATGCTCATGTTGTTAGTACAGGTGTGTCTACCTGTCCCATCATAGGCCTGTTAGGCCATGCTATGTTTGTTAGTACAGGTGTGTCTACCTGTCCATCATAGGCTGTTAGCATGCTCATGTTGCTTAGTCTCACAGGTGTGTCTACCGTCCATCATAGGCTGTTTAGCATGCTCATGTGTTAGTACAGGTGTGTCTACCTGTCCATCATAGGCTGTTAGCATGCTCATGTTGTTAGTACAGGTGTGTCTACCTGTCCATCATAGGCTGTTAGCATGCTCATGTTGTTAGTACAGGTGTGTCTACCTGTCCATCATAGGCTGTTAGCATGCTCATGTTGTTAGTACAGGTGTGTCTACCTGTCCATCATAGGCTGTTAGCATGCTCATGTTGTTAGTACAGGTGTGTCTACCTGTCCATCATAGGCTGTTAGCATGCTCATGGTTGTTAGTACAGGTGGGGTCTACCTGTCCATCATAGGTGGTTAGGCATGCTCATGTTTTTAGTACAGGTGTGTCTACATGTCCATCATAGGATGTTGATGCTCATCTGTTGCTAGTACAGGGTGTTACCTGCAATCATAGGCTGGTTAGCAGCGAATGTTGTTAGTACAGTGTGTCTACCTGTCATTCATAGGCTGTTAGAATGCTCATGTTGGTTAGTACAGGTGTGTCGACCTTGTCCATCATAGGACGGTAGCATGTATTTGTTGACAGGTGTGTCTACCTGTCCATCATAGGCGTAGAATTGCTCTGGTGTTAGTACGGCGTGTCTACCTGTCCATTCATAGCAACGCTGGTTAGCATTGCTCATTGGGTTAGTACAGGGGTTTGTCTACCTGTTCCATCATAGGCTGTTTAGCATGCTCATGTTGTTAGTACAGGTGTGCTCTACCTGTCATCATAGGCGTTGGTTAGCTGATCATGTTGTTAGGACAGGTTGGGTTTCACCTGTCCACATAGGCTGGTAGGCATGCTCATGTGTGATACAGGTCTGTTCGTCTACTGTCAATCATAGGATGTTAGATGTCATGTTGCTAGTACCGGTGTCTACGTCCATCATAGGACTGTTTAGAAGCTCATGTTGTAGTACGGGGTTTTTCTACATGTCCATATTAGCTGTTAGCATGCTCCGTTGTTCGTAAAGGTGTGATTGTGCTACTGTCCATCATAGGATGTTAGCATGACTAAGGTTGTGAGTACAGGTTTTGTGTCACCGGGCATATAGGCCGATTAGCATGCGCATGTTGTGAGTACGGTACAGGTGTGTCTCCTGTACTATATAGGCTGCTACACTAGCGGTGTTTGATGGATGCGCCTCTCTGTGTCCGTCTGCGTCCGGTTCGTTCTTCAAATATCAGCCAACAGCCAATTCGGATCAATGAAGGTCCCCGCAATGTCACCTGCATCACATCACAACACCAGAAAGTTTGTATGTGAAATTTAAAAAATGGGTATGCTTTTAAAATATATCTCTAAAGCTTTGTTCACACTGCAGGCCTTAATGCTCAAATCAGTTTGGTTTCTCAAATCCGTTGTGGAATACAGAATGCCCAAACAAGTTAGAAGTGAACAAAATCAGATGTGTGTGTTCAGACAGCAGTCATTTGCTGGCATGGCTAAGCTAGTTCTCATGGTAACGACGGGTGTGTGCGCAGTGGTAGGGTGATTGGTGGTGGTGCTCCTGCTTCCCGTCACTCAGAAGTTATGCAGCCAGCTAAGGTGACAATGCCTGCCATGGACGTTCCCCAGTTACTTTGAATGTTCTAAATCATAGTGTTAGAACTCTTTTAAAGCCTCAAAGGATAAGATGATCCAACTTTCAGTTATTGTTGTCTAGCCACAGCAGTCAACTAGCTAGCGGTTTAGCTTACTAGCACATTCACTAATCAACAAGCTAGTTGGCTACCACATCCTCTTGTCAGACTGTCAGAGTCGCTAGCAAGCAACAAGATATGACAATAAAAACCACTTGAGGGCAAATCAATCAGATTTGACCGTTCAGACAAGTCACATGGAAAGGATTCAGATTTGTATCGGCTTTCAAACCACCTACGAAGGTCCTTTGAAATATCTAATTCCATGTGCTTTTTTTTTTTTGGGAGTCTCTTCAAACTGCCAATGTGAACAAGGCTTTAGATGTTAAGTCCCCTATTTGGAGGGCTTTGAACGGTTCTGGACCGGTTCCGACTGTGAACGTCGTAGGGTCCCGTGTCTTATAGTGTCAGGAAGGCCAACCTGTCTGCTCTCCCCTGGAGAGGAGTGTCTGGTTTCACACGCCACATTTGCATAGGGAGTGACATGTCACATTTTCTGGCCAATCCAGACAAAAGGAACAATTTTCTGTGTCTGTGAAACTCAGCTGCGCCTCAAATAGCGCATATGAAAACGGGAGAGTCCAGTGGATGCAACAATACTATACTGAACAAAAATATAAAATGCAACAATTAACGATTTTACTAAGTTAGTTCATATGAGGAAATCAGTCATTTGAAATCAATTCATTAGGCCCTAATCTATGGATTTCACATGACTGGGCAGGGATGCAGCCATGGGTGGGTCTGGGAGGGCATCGGCCCACCCACTTGGGAGCCAGGCCCAGCCAATGGGGAGCCAGACCCAGCCAATCAGAATGAGTTTTTCCCCACAAAATTGGCTTTATTACAGACAGAAATACTCCTCAGTTCCATCAGCTGTCTGGGTGGCTGGTCTCAGACGATACCACAGGTGAAGAAGCCGGATGTGGATGTTCTGGACTGGCGTGGTTATACCTAGTCTGCGGTTGTGAGGCCGGTTGAACGTACTGCAAAATTCTCTAAAACGACGTTGGAGGCGGCTTATGGTAGAGAAATGCACATTAAATTCTCTGGCAACAACTTTCCTGCAGTCAACATGCCAATTGCACGCTCCCTCAAAACTAGAGACATCTGTGGCATTGTGTTGTGACAAAACTGCACATTTTAGTGGCCTTTTATTGTCCCCCAGCACAAGGTGCACCTGTGTAATGATCATGCTGTTTAATCAGCTTCTTGATATGCCACACCTGCCAGGTGGATGGATTATCTTGGCAAAGGAGAAATGCTCACTAACAGGGATGTAAACAAATTTGCGCACAAAATTTGAGAGAAATACGCTTTTTGTGCGTATGGAACATTTCTGGGTTCTTTTATTTCAGCTCATGAAACATGGGACATACAGTTTACATGTTGCGTTTATATTTTTGTTCAGTATAGTTTCATCTTGCTGTGATATTCAGAGGATTTAGAGCTCTCAACATGAAAAAATACTAAATAATTTAATAGAATTGTACTAAGACCACTTTCTCTTCGACACAGGCTGATGAAATCACTGCACACATTTGCACGGTGTCTCTGCGCCGCTCAGTGGACGTTTAGGAGAAGATTATCTATTGTCAGTTATATGAAATAGTGCCAATATTATACAGTCACTAAGTATGATCATATTTATTTTACAGCTATAAGAAAGGTGAAATCTTATAGTAAGTCGTTTATAATTTGATCGTTGCTGTATTTGGAAACCATTTCAGTCATTTCAAACCCTAATTAGATGTGCTCATTCATACTGAGAATGTGTCATGTTGACATTTCATGTACACTATATATACAAAAGTATGTGGACACACCTTCAAATTAGTGGATTCGTCTATTTCAGACACACAGTTGCTGACAAGTGTATAAAATCAAGCATACAGCTATGCAATCTCCATAGACAAACATTGGCAGTAGAATGGCCTTACTGAAAAGCTCAGTGATTTTCAACATGGCACCGTCATAGGATGCCACCTTTCCAACAAGTCAGTTCGTCAAATTTCTGCCCTGCTAGAGCTGCCCCGGTCAACTGTAAGTGCTGTTATTGTGAAGTGGAAACGTCTAGAAGCAACAACGGCTCAGCCTCGACGTGGTAGGCCACAAAAGCTCACAGAACGGGCCCGCTGAGTGCTGAAGCGTGTAAAAATTGTCTGTCATTGGTTGCAACACTCACTACCGAGTTCCAAACTGCCTCTGGTAGCAACGTCAGCACAAGAACTGTTCGTCGGGAGCTTCATGAAATGGGTTTCCATGGCCGAGCAGCCGCACACAAGCCTAAGATCACCATGCGCATTGCCAAGCGTCGGCTGGAGTGGTGTAAAGCTCGCCGCCATTGGTCTCTGGAGCAGTGGAAAGGCGTTCTCTGGAGTGATTAATCCCACTTCACCATCTGGCAGTCGGAGGGACGAATCTGGGTTTGGCAGATGCCAGGAGAACACTACCTGTCCCAATGCATAGTGCCAACTGTAACGTTTGGTGGAGGAGGAATAATGTCTGGGGCTGTTTTTCATGGTTCGGGCTAGGCCCCTTAGTTCCACTGAAGGGAAGTCTTAACGCTACAGCATACAATGACATTCTAGATGATTCTATGCTTCCAACTTTGTGGCAACAGTCTGGGGAAGGCCTTTTCCTGTTTCAGCATGACAATGCCCCCGTGCACAAAGTGAGATCCATACAGAAACGGATTGTCGAGATCGGTGTGGTAGAACTTGACTGGCCTGCACAGAGCCCTGACTTCAACCCCATAAAACACCTTTGGGATGAATTGGAACGCCGACTGCGAGCCAGGCCTAATCACCCAACATCAGTGCCCGACCTCCCTAATGCTCCTGTGGCTGAATGGAAGCAAGTCCCCGCAGCAATGTTCCAACATCTAGTGGAAAGCCTTCCCAGAAGAGTGGAGGTTGTTATAGCAGCAAAGGGGGGACCAACTCCATATTAATGGCCATGATTTTGGAATGAGATGTTGGACGAGCAGGTGTCCACATCCTTTTGGCCATGCAGTGTATACTACATCATGTTTTAATAACCAGTCTAACTAGTAGGTGCAGTAGGCAGTGTCTTACAGTGATGACTCTAGTGAAGTCTTCTAGACTGTGGGGAACATCCTTTTTGAAGTTATAAGTCTTGACGGCAACGGCGATGCCAGCACAGTTCACCGCCAGGTCCAGCTTCCCAAACCGCTGCCGGGCCAGCTCCACCGCAGAACGCACATCTGCCTCTGACGTTACCTAGGTAACCAGGACCCCAGGGGGGCCCGGGGTTTTAAAAGCCCCCCAAAACTGAGCAAGTACTCCTAAAAGGACGATTTAAAATTGGGGGGTTAAAGATTACCGATTTAAAGGTCCGGGGGTAAATTAAAAGGAGTAGGGGGAAAAGGTTCCAGGTGGGGAAACGATTCAAAGTAGGGGGAAAAGGGAAAGGTCGGGGGGGTTTCCCCCCAGGTTGGGGGAAAAGGTTCAGATTTGGGGGGGCCCGGGGGGGTTGGTTTTCCCCCTGGGGGAAATTTTGGTCCCCCCCGTGGGGGTGGTCCCGGTGGGGGGTTTGGGCCCCCCGAGTGGGGGTTTTGGTGGTTGGGGTGGTTCGGGTGGGGGGTTTGGCCCCCCGGTTGGGGGGGTTTTTAAGGGCCCCCCGGTGGGGGTGGTCCGGTTTGGGGGTGGCCCCCCGGTGGGGGGTGGGGGGTGGTCCCGGTGGGGAAACCCCGGCCCCGAGTTTGGGTTGCGTCCCAGAGTGGGGGTTTAAAAGAGCCCGAGTAGGGGGTAAGATTCCCGGTTAGGGGGAAAGAGTACAGGGGGGGGGGTCCCGGTTTGGGGGTGGGGGTGATTTTCCAGGGGGGGTTTGGCCCCCCTTTTGGGGGGTGGGCCCCCGGTTGGGGGGGAAAGGTCCGGGTTTGGGGGTGACCCCCGGGTTTTGGGGGTTTGGTCCGGGGGGGGGGTTTGGGCCCCCCGGTGGGGTGCCCCCCGTTGGGGGTTTAAAGGCGGTGGGGTTGGGGGTTTTTGGGTTCCCGGGTGGGGGTGGTCCCGGTGGGGGAAAAGGGTCCCGGTGGGGGTAAAGAAAAGGTGGGGTTTAAAGGTTTTCCAGTAGGGGATTTAAAGATCCCAAAGTGGGGGAAAAAGGTCCCGGTGGGGGGGGTAAAAAGTACCGATAGGGGGTAAAGATTTACCGATGGGGGTAAAGAGAAAATGATTTGGGGTAAAAAGAGTCCCGGGTGGGGGTAAAGGGTCCCCGAGTGGGGGTAAAAGGGGGAAAAAACCGAGTGGGGGGTTTTAAAGAAAACCGGAGTGGGGGTTTTAAAGAAAAGGGGGTTTGGGGGGTAAAGAGTACCGAGAAAGGGGGGTAAAAAGAGTACGAGTAGGGGAAAGAGTACCGAGTAGGGGTAAAGGGGTCCCGATTTAGGGGGTAAAAGAGTACCGATGGGGGGTTAAAATAAGGGTGGGGGGGTAAAGAGAAACAGAGAAAGGGGGGGAAAAGAGTGGGGTTTTAAAAAGAGCCCCCGGGTTTTGGGGTTAAAGGTGGGGGGTAAAGGTCCGGGGTAGGGGGTAAGGGGTGGGGGTAAAAGTCCAGTGGGGGGGTTAAAGAGTAGGGGGTAAGACCCCCGGGAGGGGTGGTCGGGGGGGGTTTTAATGAGTGGGGGGGTAGGGGGGGGCCCCGGTAGGGGGAAAAGGTGGGGTTTCCCCCCCCGGTGGGGGGCCCCCGGTGGGGGTTTTAAAGGTCGAGGGGGGGGTTTTAAAAGAGTGGGGGGTTACAGAGTCCCAAGAAGAGGGGAAAAAGCTTAAAGGGGGGTTCTTAAAAGAGTGGGGGGTTAAAGAGTCCCGAGAGGGGGTCCCCTTTCGGGGTAAAGGCCCCCCTTGTGGGGGTTAAAGGGTTTCCCGGGGTTGGGGGTTAAAGGTTAAAAGGTGGGGGGTAAGCGTACCGGGTTGGGGTGAAAGGGGGTTAGGGGGAAAGAGTCCCGAGGGGGGGGTAAAGGGGGTGGGGGGTTTAAAGGTAAAAGGGTGGGGGGGAAAAAGGGTCCAGAGTAGGGGGTAAAGAGAAGAAGTGGGGGGGAAAAAGGGGTTTTTGGGGGGTAAAGGTCCAGGTAGGGGTTTAAAGGTTCCGGGTGGGGGTAAGGGTCCCCGAGGGGGGGAAAAGGCCCCCCGGTTGGGGGGGTGGTCCCGGTGGGGGTGGGAAAAGGTCGGGGGGTGGGGGGGGGGTTCCCGGGTCCCGGTTGGGGGTCCCTGTCCAGGTGGGGGTTTGGCTTCCCCCGGGGTTGGGGGTTTGGCCCCCCGGTTCGGGGGGGGTTAAAGGGGTACAGGAAAGGGGGGAAAAAGATTCCCGGGTTTGGGGGTTGGTCCCGGGTTGGGGGAAAAGGTGGTGGGGAAAAGAGTACAGAGTAGGGGGAAAAAGGTACCGATTAGGGGAAAAGTTCCGATTAGGGGGTTAAGAGCCCGGGGGGGGGGGGGGAAAAGGGTTCCCGAGTGGGGGGGTTAAAAGAGTCAGAGGGGGGGGGTAAAAGGGAAACCAGTGGGGGGTTTTAAAGAGTACCGATTTAGGGGTAAAGAGTCCCGAGTGGGGGTTTAAAGGGAGTCCCGAGTAGGGGGAAACAGAGAAACCGGGGAAAGGGGGGTAAAGATTTCCCGGTTTTGGGGAAAAGGTTACCGATTGGGGGGGAAAGATTACCGAGTGGGGGGGTAAAGTCCGAGTAGGGGGAAAAAGGTCCCAAGTGGGGGGGGGTGGGGCCGGGTGGGGGTTTAAAAGGGGGGGTACAGATACAGAGTAGGGGAAAGAGTAGGGGGAAAAGAGTAAAAGTGGGTTTTTTTAAAGGAAGGGGGTAAAGAGTAAGATTGGGGTAAGGTGGGGGGTAAAGAAACAAAAGTAGGGGGTTTTAAAAAAGAAAGGGGGTTAAAAGAGTAAAATTTGGGGGGTTTAAAGAAAACCGGGGTGGGGGGTTTAAAGGGTTGGGGGAAAAGAGTGGGGGTACAGAGAAACAGTGGGGGGGTAAAAGAGTGGGGGGAAAAAGAGTACAGAGTAGGGGGAAAAAGATTTGGGGGGTTTAAAGAGTACAGAGTGGGGGTTTAAAAAGGGGGGGCCCCCGGTGGGGGTTTGGCCCCCCGGGGGGGGTTTTGGTGGGGGGTCGGTTCCCCCTTTGGGGTGGTGGGGGGGGTGGTCCGGTTGGGGGTGGCCCCCCGGGTGGGGGTTTTTGGTCGGTGGGGGGGGGGGGTTTGAGAAAAGGGGGGGTTTAAAAGAGTGGGGGAAAAAGATTAGGGGAAAAGGGGAGTACAGAGTGGGGGGGTAAAGATACGGAAAAGGGGGTAAAGAGCCCATGGGGGTTAAAGAGTACCGGGGGGGGTAAAGAGTACCGGTGGGGGGGAAAAGAGTCCCCGGGGTGGGGGTTTTAAAGGGTGGGGGGGTACGGGAGTAGGGAAAAAAACATTTAAAATTTGGGGGCAGGGGGGGTACAGAGTGGGGGGGGGGGAAAAAAGGGGTTTAAAGGGGGAAAAAGGTTTTTAAAAAGGTGGGGGAAAAGGGGGGAAAAGAGCAGGGGGTACAGAGTAACAGAGTAGGGGGTAAAGAGTACCGAGTAGGGGGTAAAGAGTACAGAGTAGGGGGTAAAGAGTACAGAGTAGGGGGTAAAGAGTACAAAATTAGGGGGAAAAAGAGTACGAGTGGGGGGTAAAAGAGTCCCGAAGGGGGGGGTTAAAAAGAAAACAGATTTGGGGGGTTTTTAAAATTTCCAGGGGAGGGGGTAAAGGTACAGAGTATGGGGTAAGATTCCCGATTTGGGGGGAAAAAAGGGAGTACCGGTGGGGGTTTAAAAAAGAAGTCCCGGGTAGGGGGGGAAAAAGGTACAAAACGGGGGGGTAAAAGAAACCGGTGGGGGGAAAAGGTCCCGGGAGTGGGGGTAAAGAGTACCGATTGGGGGGGTAAAGAGTAGGGGGTACAGAGTAGGATAAACGGGTAGAGAAAGGGGGAAAGGGAGTACAGAGGGGGGGGGGGGAAGAATAAGGGGTAAAGAACGGGGGGTTAAAAGGGGAGGGGGAAAAAGAGCAGGGGGAAAAGGGCCGGGGGTACGGGGACGGGTAGGGGGAAAAGGGACCATTTGGGGGTAAAAAATTACAAAGTGGGGGGGTTTAAAGAGTACAGATAGGGGGAAAAAGGGGAAACAGATTTAGGGGGTAAAGAGTACGGTGGGGGGGGTTTAAAAAAAAAAACAAAGGGGTAAAGAGAAACAAAGCGGGGGTTAAAGAGTACAGACCCGGGGGGGGAAAAAGGGGAAAACGGTAGGGGGTAAAGAGTACAGATTGGGGGGTTTAAAAGATTTACCGAGTGGGGAAAAGAGTCCCGGTGGGGGGTTTAAAGGGGTCCCGAGTGGGGGGAAAAAGAGTACAGATGGGGGGTAAAGGGGCCAAGAGTGGGGGGGAAAGAGTACAGAGTGGGGGGTTAAGACACAGAGTAGGGGTAAAAAGTACAGAGAGGGGGTAAAGGGGAAACCGAGTAGGGGTAAAAGGAAAGAGTGGGGGGGAAAAGGGTTACAGAGCGGGGGGGGTTAAAAGGGGTAGGGGTTTACGAGTAACAGGCAGGGGGAAAAAGATGGGGGTTTTAACAGGTGGGTTTTTAAAAAAGGGGGTAAGATTAGGGGTACAGAGTACAGGCGGGGGGGTAAAAAGATTAGGGGGGTACAGATTTGGGGGGAAAAAAGGTTAAAGAGGGGGGGTTAAAGAGTGGGGGGTTTTAAAGGTAAAGAGGGGGGGGTCCCGAGTAGGGGTTTAAAAAGGTAAAAAAAGGGGGGTTTAAAGGCGGGGGGGTTAAAGAGCAGGGGGAAAAGAGCGGGGGTTTTTAAAAGGGGTAAATACCCGGGGGGGGTAAAGAGGGGGGGGTTTAAAGAGTACAGGGGCGGGGGGTAAAGAGTGGGGGGAAAAGAGCGGGGGGAAAAAGGCGGGGGGTTAAAAGGTAAAAGCAGGGGGAAAAAGGTAGGGGGAAAGAGTGGGGGGTTTAAAGACGGGGTTTTTAAAGACAGGGGAAAAGGGTAAAGAGTGGGGGGGAAAAGGGAGCGGGGGGTTAAAGAGCAGGGGGAAAAAGATTTGGGGGGGTTTAAAAAAGCGGGGGTTTAAAAGGGTAAATAGCGGGGGGTAAGAGTAGGGGGAAAAAGGTAAGAGTGGGGGGTAAAAGCGGGGGGTTTAAAAAGAAGGGGTAAGAGTAGGGGGAAAATTGGGGATTTGTTAAAGAAAAGGGGGAAAAAGGGAAAAAAGAGTGGGGGGTTAAAGGGGGAAAAAGGGGGTTTAAAGACGGGGGGTTAAAAAGGAAAAAGGTGGGGGTAAAGAGTAGGGGTTAAAGAGTAGGGGGGTAAAGAGTGGGGGTTTTAAAAGAGCGGGGGGTAAAGGTAAAAGAGTGGGGGGAAAGGAGGGGGGTTTAAAGAGAAAGGGGGAAAAGAGCAGGGGTTTAAAGAGCAGGGGTTAAAGAGTAGGGGGTTTTAAAGAGTAGGGGGAAAAAGGAAAAGGGGCGGGGGTTAAAAGGTAAAAGTAGGGGGAAAAAAAGGGTAAAAGAGAAAGGGGGTTTAAAAAATGGGGGGTAAAGTAAAAATGAGTAGGGGGGTTAAAAGAGCGGGGGGTAAAGACGGGGGGTTTAAAGGGGGGGGTTTTAAAAAAGCAAAGGGGAAAAAGGTAAAGACCCGGGGGTTTTTAAAGAAAGGGGGTGGGGGGAGTGGGGGTTAAAGGGACCCGGGGGGTAAAAGGTAAAGGCGGGGGGTTTAAAAGATGGGGGTTAAAGAAGTGGGGGGAAAAGATGGGGTTTTTTAAAAGGAGCAGGGGGGGTAAAGAGCGGGTTTAAAAAGGGGGGGGTTAAAAGGAAAGCGGGGGGAAAGATTAGGGGGAAAAAGACAGGGGTTAAAAGGAAAAAGAGCGGGGGGTTTAAAGATTGGGGGGTTTAAAAGAGCGGGGGGGAAAAGAGCAGGGGTTAAAGAGCGGGGGGAAAAAAGAGCGGGGGGGTAAAGAGTGGGGGGTAAAGGAAAAGGGGCGGGGGGTTAAAAGAGGGGGGTTTTTAAAATTAGGGGTAAAATAGGTTGGAAAAAGGGGCGGGGGTTTTAAAAAAAGGTAAGATGGGGGTAAAGAGCGGGGGGGTAAGGAAAGGGGGGTTTAAAGAGCGGGGGGGAAAAAGGGTAAAGAGGGGGGGGTAAAAGAGTGGGGGGTTAAAGGGGGGGGGGTAAAAAGGGCGGGGGGTAAAGAGTGGGGGGTAAAAAAAGGGGGGGGTTTTAAAAGAGCGGGGGGGAAAAAGGGTAAAGATTTAGGGGGTAAAGAGTAGGGGGGTAAAAGGTAAAGAGTAGGGGGAAAGAGCAGGGGGAAAGAGTGGGGGGGTTTAAAGAGCGGGGGGTAAGGGGGGCAGGGGGTAAAGACCCAGGGGGGGGTAAAAAAGCGGGGGGAAAAGGAGGGTTTAAAGAGCGGGGGGGAAAAATATAGGGGGAAAAGAGTGGGGGAAAAAAGGAAAAGAGTAGGGGGGAAAGTAAAAGGGGGTAAAGAGTGGGGGGGTAAAGAGCGGGGGGGGTTAAGGGGGGGGGAAAATGGGAAAGGGGGGGGAGGGGGGGGGGGGGGTAAAGATTAAAAAAGGGGGGGAAAAGGGGGGAAAGGGGGGGGTTTAAAAGCAGGGGGAAAAGGGGTAAAAAATAGGGGGTAAAGAGGGGGGGGTTAAAAGGTAAAGAGTGGGGGGGGAAAAAATGTAAAGAGTGGGGGGTTAAAAGGTCAAGAGTAGGGGTAAAAAGGTAAGAGTGGGGGAAAAAGGTAAAGAGTGGGGGGGTAAAGAAAAGGGGAAAAAGGTAAAGAGTAGGGGGTAAAAGCAGGGGGTAAAAGGGTTTAAAGTTTTGGGGGAAAAATTAAAATAGGGGGTAAAAGGGTAAAGGTAGGGGGGTAAAGGTACAAGTAGGGGTAAAGAGTAGGGGAGAGAAAGATTTGGGTTGAGCTGGGTTTTGACGGGCTGGGGTTATGACGGGGCGGGGTTTATGACAGGGTGGGGTTTATGACGGGGCAGGTTTATGAAGAGTGGGGTTATGACAGGGCAGGGTTTGGCAGGGCTAGGTTTGACAGGCTAGGGTTATAAAGGGGGGAGGGTTATGACAGGGTTATGACAGAGCTAGGGTTAGACAGGGCTGGGGTTATGACGGGTTTTTGACAGGGCCAGGGTTATGGCAGGGCTGGGGTTTAAACAGGGCGGGGTTAGACAGGGCTAGGTTATGAAGGGCTGGGTTAGGGCGGGGGCAGGGTTTGGGAGGGCCGGGGTTTGACGGGCCGGGGGTTAGACGGGGCTGGGTTTTTTATGACAGAGCTAGGGTTATGACGGGCTGGGTTTTTATGACAGGCTGGGGTTTAACGGGGCTAGTGTTAGGCAGGGCTAGGTTTGACGGGGCTGGGGTTTTGAAGGGTAGGGTTATGACAGGGTGGGTTATAAAGGGGCGGGGGGTTATGACAGGGTAGGGTTTATGACAGGGTAGGGTTAACGGGTTATGACGGGGGCTAGGGTTATGGCGGGGCTGGGGTTATGACGGGCAGGGTTTGACGGGCTGGGGGTTAGACAGGGCTAGGTTTTTGACAGGGTTTGGGTTTATGACAGGGCTAGGGTATAAGGGGTTATGACAAAGCTAGGGTTATGACGGGGCTAGGGTTTGACAGGGCTGGGTTATACGGGCTAGGGTTATACAGACTGGGTTATGACAGAGTAGGTTTTTGACAGGGCTAGGGTTATGACGGGGCTGGGGTTACAGGGTTTGGCGGGGCTAGGGTTAGACAAATTTGGGTTGGAGCAATGTTCCCTCTAATTTTTGGGGCTAGCAAATTTTAAAATTGTGAGCGGAAACTTAACTTGTGGGGTTTTTTTTGCAACTTCCAGCGACGTTTTTCCAGGAACACTGAGTCTAAACCCTTTACAGTTTTTAGACGTAGCCAACAGGGGTATCCGACAGTTTTTACAGTAGCCCAAAAGGCTGTATCCTACAGTTTTTGACATGCCCAAAAGGCTTTTAAACCTGACAAAATTTTTTACATACCAAAGGTGATCCTGCAGTTTTTAACATAGCCAACAGGCGTACCGACGTTTAGACAGTACCAAAAGGCGTACCCTGACAGTTTAACGTAGCCAACAGAATACCCCCGAAGTTGAGAAGTGCCAACGGTGTATCCGACAGTTTTAGACAGTAGCCAACGGGCTGTACCCTGACAGTTTTAGACAGTAGCCAACAGGCTGTCATCCTGAACAAAAGTTTTAGACAGTAGCCAACAGGCTGTACCCTGACAGTTTTGACAGTAGCCAACAGGCTGTATCCTGACAGTTTTAGACAGTAGCCAACAGGCTGTACCCTGACAGTTTTAGACAGTAGCCAACAGGCTGTATCCTGACAGTTTTAGACAGTAGCCAACAGGCTGTATCCTGACAGTTTTAGACAGTAGCCAACAGGCTGTATCCTGACAGTAGCCAACAGGCTGTACCCTGACAGTTTTAGACAGTAGCCAACAGGTTATTGTGGCTATCTGAGCATAATGTACGCCTACCAACCAAACCAATGGAGCAAATCCCATAACATTTTCACATGGAAATAGCTTTTGATTTCTATGATCTAGCCGACAGTAGCCTATATGTGGTGTTCAGTGCAGGCCTATATTGCATGAGACTTCTTAAAATGATGAAGGGCTTGACATTAATTAACGCTTTTTACTTGGTCTGTAACAGCAGGGGCCAAATAGCTGACTGTATGATGCAAGAAACAACTTTACAAAATAAAGTTAATTATTACCATACAGAGAATTAGACCATGTAGGCTAACCCCTCTGCCTATTGGCTTATTTGCATATTCAGCCATAATCAAAACACAAACACTGCCCTTTAATTAAGACATAAGCATTTTACCTGACTGGCTTTTCAAAGACAGCTTGAAATGCAGCCTACACGTTTTGTTCTCTTGTAGGAAACAGTAACTCCCCATTGCTGACCTATACTTATCTACAGTATAATTGGGCTAATAACTCACTAACTAGTAAAGACTATCAACGAATGTGCACACGCGCGGCTCCGAACTGATCTGAAAGCGCATTCACTCATGAGTGATTGAAAGACCGCTCGTGGACCTTTCCCCCCCCCCGTCAATAGAATGATACTCTGTTGCGCTCTGGCTCTGCCTACAACACAATACCAGACTCAATCTTGTAAAGTTAGATTTGTTTTGGTTTGTTGCATTGAAAGGGGCTGATATATGTTGATTCCTGGAGGAGGTGCGCAACTTAAGAGTGAACATTGGTTAGGGGTTTAAAGGTCAGACTCACGTCAGCGGGGGCGAAGGCGCAGCGTTCTCCGAGGCTTGGCTGCAAGGTTGTGTCCGTCTGAAGAGGGAAGATCCAGAATCACAGCACACGCCCCCTGCTGCACCAACCGCTCCACGGTGGCCGGCCCAGCCCTGACGCACCGCCGTCACCAGGCCGACCATAAACCCCGGGGGTGACATGGTTTAGGTCAGGGGGACAGAGACGTAGACAGACACAAACACACAGGGTAGGGCGTCCAATCAAAAAACACAGGGTAGGGTGTCCAATCAAAACACACAGGGTAGGGTGTCCAATCAAAAAACGGGTAGGGTGTCCAATCAAAACACACAGGGTAGGGTGTCCAATCAAAACACACAGGGTAGGTGTCCAATCAAAACACACAGGGTAGGGTGTCCATCAAAACCACAGGGTAGGGCGTCCAATCAAAACACCAGGGTAGGTTCCAATCAAAACACACAGGGTAGGGCGTCCATCAAAACACACAGGGGAGGGCGTCCAATCAAAACACACAGGTTAGGGTGTGTCAATCAAAAACACACAGGGTAGGGTGTCCAATCAAAACACACAGGGTAGGGTGTCCAATCAAAACACACAGGGTAGGGCGTCCAATCAAAACAACACAGGGTAGGGCGTCCAATCAAAACACAGGGTAGGGGTCCAATCAAAACACACAGGGTAGGGCGTCCAATCAGAACACACGGTAGGGCGTCCATCAAAACCAGGTAGGTCGTCCAATCAAAACACACAGGGTAGGGCGTCCAATCAAACACCAGGTAGGTGTCCCAAACAAACACACAGGGTAGGGTGTCCAATCAAAACCACATATTTCTACCAATGGGTAAATTTTGTGTGTTCAAAAGGTC